GGGGGGGGGGGGGGGGGGGGGGGGTGGACATCATGTAAAAGTATGATTAAAACTTACGAAACCATCCTCAGATATATCAATCAGCTGATAGTCAGTACGATTAACATGGGGAACCTGCAAAAGCACCGTAATATGAAGAATAATGAAAACAGTTCCATTGGAAGAATAGAATCAAACATGAGAAGAGAGTTGCAAAGAAATTACATCACAGTTGTGAGAAGAAGGAACAATATCTTCAAGTTTCTTTCCATTGAATATGTCAATTGCCACAAAGTGACACTTCGCATGTCCATGCTTTCCAGTTTTTGAAGTGGAAACTTCAACAACCTGAATGGAAGAGAGTCAAGAAAAAACCGATGGTATATGCCCTGGTATGTAGCGGAAGTCATGAGCTGCCCACGAGTAAAAGTTCAGCAATATTATCATATTTGACAGAAACACAAGGAGACAAGCATAGTGTCCTGGTCATGTCTGTCCAAAGCGAGTTGCCCATGGCCACACGCCCATTGCATGTCAAACCCCTTGTGTTGACCACTTTATTGCTTCCCTTTACCGCTTTCATGATGTATAGTTTCTTATTGTATTTTCTAAGCGTATGACGTTTCGAGGAGATGCGACTAGTTGTCAATTCTTCCTACCCAGAGTTATATGTTATCTAAGCCGTTATGTTGCTTTCTTTACTTACTAGCTTATAACATTGCTTTCTTCGTTGGTTCTAATCTTCCTTTCAAACTCTCTTTCCAAACTCTCTCTTTAAAATCTTTTTTTACCCCCGTTTTCTAAAACCTTCTTCTTAAAATGGGGACAGAGGCTTGGGTATACATCATACGACTGAAAGAGACACGATTTTGAGTCTGCTGATTCACTTAATGGTGAGAGTAAATGTCGCTTAATCGCTGACAATCATCCCATAAGAGTGTGATTGTGACATACAGCATATTTCTTTCTGGGAATGAGAAGCAAAGCAAATCCACTTCAAAAACATTTCTTTCAAAGCATCGTTAATGCACTTCAAACAAGTTCTATTAATACTAAGAAGATAATTGCAACATGAAGATTATATCCGCTGTTAACATTTTAGCTTAACATCTACCTCATTGTTTGTTAATGTGCAACACAACAGGGACATTGGCGATAATGGTATATATAGGATATGACAGCATGACCCAATTGAACTGTTTAATGGCATGTCCCATAGCGAAACTCAAACAAGTCAAGAAGCCAAGTCCATCTCAAAATACTTAATAAGGACAACACATGCACAAGCTACATTTCTGACAGACCAAGGCTGCATATTTCATTACGCATCCTGATCCAACTGAAGTGAAAGAATCACTTGCCATTAAAGATAATGAACCCGTGACCCTGAATTTTTCAGTCTTGCACTTACACCAAACCAATTATGTCAAATCTTGCACGACCTATTCAATAGTTTATTGTGAGATCACATTTTAAAACTTTGAGGGAAGCCGGGATGGGAAAGCCCCAAAAGGACAACCAAAATCCTTTCAGGAAAACTTACTTTATAATTCATCCACAATACTTGTGTAGAACTATTCTATAAATACTTGAAGGAATCCAAAAGCAGAAGGCCCCACAAAGAGAAATTAAAGGGGAAAAATAACCTAAATCAATGAGGGAGTAACAATTGCTATAATCATTAGTCACCGAGTTAAAAGTTAGGGACCATCTTCACTTAGAAATAGAAGTATCGAAACAAGCGAAGCAATCAAACGTCTACCCTTTCAGAAAACAGAGAGATAAAAAGAAAAATTATAATAAAGAATGTAGTCGAAAAGCTCAAAAAGATTATAAAAAAGCCCAAAATATAATCCATGGATGATCAACGCGAGTTTCAAAACGGTATGGAGAAAAAGGAAAAAGGAAAAAACCTTGCAGGGCCTGTTCTTGATTACGATGTAGCCATTTTTGCGAATGGTACCAGCTTGCTGAGGGAAAGTCTTGGACGCTCCGGCGTCGGCCTTAGAATCGAAGTGGTGTTCCTCGTCCGACATCGCTGCACCGTCGTTTGTCCCTCCTCGATTTCAGGCCCTTGTTCTGTGTTGCTCTCGCAAAGTCACCCGCACAGTCCTCAATGTCCCCTTACTGAAGATGACGAAGCAATCCGCTCTAATATTCCAGACTTTTTCAGAGGCGCAAATTCCGAATTGAGAGAGATGAAATCGTGGCCGTTGGATTTCTCTCTCCCGCATTCCAATCGCCGTTTCGTACCGCTTTTTCCATGCATGGCGTTTTTTTTTTTAATATTCGGATTGCTTTATATTTTTGCTTTCCTAAAAGACCAACGAGAAAGAGAATATAGTCGTATTTAATTATATATATATATATATACATACATACATACATACATACATTCATCTATTTTAAATATAAAATTAAATTTATTTATAACAAAATACTAATTTTTTTCGTATTTAATCACATGATTATTCCGAAACCTTTGAATTTGGAGTAAATTTGAATTAGATTTTCATTACATGGTTCTTCTTTATACCGTACTATGGTGTCTCGATTCTCTCATTTTTATAAATTAAAGTAAAGATACTTTTTATGTGCCGTTTAACGAGAAAGAAGCCCCACTCACTACAAATAAATATACCACAAAATCCGATTGTACATATACCTCTCTCGCATCAAATGGACCAACCTTCTATCAATCATGTACGCAGGGTCTTCCATTCTTATTAGTATATCATGAAAAAAAGAAATTCATTTACACTAAGAGTACTGTGTCACACAATTGCACTCTTGTAACAGCAGGATAACGATTATGCAGCACTTGTTCTAAAATAGAGAACATGTTAGTCGGGTAAGATTCGAACTTCGCAGACAATATTAGTGTATGCTTGAGCCTTGAGTCATGGTTAAGATAAATGTGTTTAGAAAACGTGAGAGAGAACATAGGTTGAAAATAATTTTAAAGAAAGCAATGTTATAGGCTAAAAGCGAATAAGCAACAACCACAACTTTGACAGTGTACAACTCATATAAGAAGAGTGGACAACTAGACACGTCCCCCTAAAGTATCTTGGGGCATTATAGTCACAAACAACATGTTTTGAACAATCATGACGGTGGCGCATTGCATTTTCCATTTTTTTCTTTTAAAAACGTAAAAAAAAAAAAAAAAAAAAAAAGACCTGCTTTTGGCCCAATTAAAATGTTAATTAATTAAAAGTTTATAAACTTGTAAATTCATTTTTGATATTTATGATAATATTTTTATTTATTTGCTTAAAGTAAGAGGCGTAGAGAATAAGAATTTTGTTGACTATTTCAAGCATACATAGAAATATATCAAACGAATCCATGCTTTTTCTTTTCTTTTCTTTCTTTATTGCAAAATTAATCCAAAGTCATTACAAAATATTCCACACATTTTTTGCAAAAGTAACCTTTAATCTTTATCTTTATTCTTATCACACCCAAAAATAAGAAGACAAAAAAAAAAAAAAAAAAAAAAACGAAAAATAATATTGTGTAATAAAATTGGAGTGACGGGCATAGATAAATAATTTGTGAGTGGTCACATCAGTTCTTTAGAAACGTGAATATCTTTGGTTTTTCTTGTTGTTTTACATACAACTTTTGAAGCGATTATAAGTTTATATACTCAATTTTGGGACTCGAAATGTTGTCGGCTCAGTAGAGAGGCAATGGGCATGTTACTCAGCATCATACGCCTCCATCAATCCACCAAATCCTTAGTGGGGTGATGCGTGAGATTCACATTTTCGCATTGACCTTTAACTGTTTGAAAAAATGCCAAGCTGAGCTGGTGGGGTCAACAGGCATGAGATTTTTAAATAATGGCTGTGGCTGTTGAAAGGAGTTGGTGGCCAGAAACTCCATCTAATCAAGTAAATGCTTCTTTTCCTTCCCCCTTCCCTCGTTTGATGTTGTGGTTGTTCTTTGCTGGTGGAGGGATCATTGTTTTTAATTCTACTAGAGGGCTGTTTTGCGATCATATTTACATGAATGTTCTTCAAGTTTTAATGTTAATTGGCAGAAATAAGTTCATAAAACTTACCTGAATTGGCATAATGGGCAGAGGGGTGCACATGCATAGGGATGTCTCTTATTTACAGCCAAAAGTACATGAAATAGATTTGAGCTCCAACAATGGTCCCAAGCGTGAGCGATGGTTTAATTTCCATAAAGCTCACGGCAAGTTGAAGGTCTCTTGGAGGCACCCTCAATTGAAAAGAATGATGGAAAAGGACTAACGCATTGGATATCACCAGCAGCATCCTCAACCTACCTAGGTTTATAGATTTTCTTTCAGCTTGACTTGCTTCTAGGCTTAGAGAGAAAGGTGCATCCTTGTCTCGGTTAGAGGTTCCAAACCTTTCTTTTGTCTAGAATTTCCGATATCTCCTTTATCTTAACAAAGAAAGATTTTCAATCCTCTTATAAATCGATCTAGACTAGCTGCCATAAAGAGCTTAGAGACTGAGATTAGTCCAAACTCTCGGAACCAAGGGGCGTAGCTGCTATTTCACTGGGAGTAAATGAGGCTAAGGCTATTTTACACCAATAAGAATCCTTTGACCCCTATCTACTCTAGTAAGGATCGGGGATTGTCTAAATAGTAATAAGACCCCTATCTACTCTAGTAAGGATCGGGGATTGTCTAAATAGTAATAAGAAAGTGACTGTCATCCTCTCATATCATATAAAAGATAAAATTCATGACCTTGGCCATATCAGTTAGTATACTAAGTTAGCTATCAACTTTGGTTATTCTTTAGAGGGTGCACAAAAGATATGAAAGAAATGAATATCAACAAAATTTTGGTGGAAATTCCTCAATTTTCAGTTCCCAGGACAAACTCTATATTTGATATAAAATTCTGATGTTGCACAATGACATGAGGAAAGAAGAAATACATAAACATTTTGAAACGTATCTTTCCAGGATGACTATTCTGTACACTTCCCCTTGCAGCATCAGAGAAGGGAGACCAAAAGAACCCCAATGCTTTTCTTGTTGATTGTTCATCGTCTAAGCCATCGGTTCGATGTCCTTTAGAAGTCCAACTATCTGCTGCATGCTCGGTCGTTTAGATGGAAGGTCGGCTGTGCATAGGTATGCAATCTTAAGGGCCTCCTCCATTTGATCATCTAGTCCTGTACCTCGAATTTTCGGATCAATAGCTCTTGATCCTTGATTCTTTCTAACAAGTCCTCTAACCCAACTCACCAAATCTGTTTCTTTTCCTTCAGGATACTCATCTCCAATTGGCTTCTTACCAGTAACAAGCTCAAACAGGACAACACCAAAGCAGTATACATCACTTTTTGGTGTTACAGAGTCGTTCTCGAGCTGTAAGAACTCTGGTGGCGTGTAACCGGGTGAACCACGGGAGATCTCTTCACTTAGACCATTGCCAAAAACCTTAGCCAGTCCAAAATCTGATAATCTGGGCTCCAAGTTATAATCCAGGTAAACGCTACTGGCCTTAACATCTCTGTGAATGATTGGAGGCGAACACCCATGGTGAAGAAATGCGAGCGCTCGAGCAGTACCTAGTGCAATTTTGTGACGGAATCTCCAAGTTGTTAATGTACCTTCTGAACCAACATTTTCTATTCCATTGTTGTCAACTTCCTCCCACGTATCCGTGCTCCAGTCCTCCGTTGTTTGAACACCCAATGGCAGGTCATGGAGCAAATTCTGCAAGGTCCCGTTCTCCATATAATCATAGATGGCAATTCTTTGATCCCCAGCCAAGCAATATCCAGTTAATGGCACAAGATTGGGGTGTTTAATTCGACCAAGATACTCAAGTTCTCTTGCAGCTTCCCGTTCTGTCAATGTAGAACCATGAACCAAAACTTTCACAGCCACATGAATTCCTCCAGGTAGAAATCCCCTGTATACAGGGCCAAACTTGCCCTCTGCCAATAGAGTGCCCCGGTCGAAATTTGAAGTTGCAGATAATAAGTCAGCAAAGGTTATATTCAACAATGGCTTCTCAAAAATTACTACCGAAACCGACGTTGCCTGCTTAACATCAGCCACCCATGTGGTTGAATCAGTCTGGAAAGAAAAAGGCCCTGAAATATTAGTCTCTTCTTTGTAAGAGGCCTGCTTTACGACCCACGTCCTGCTTTTCCTTCTGCATCCGAATGCTAGAAATATCACTGCTAGAAGTAGGCAGATCATGGAGAAAGTAACAGCCAGAGCCAGCTTCAAGACCTCGTGTTTACTGGGTTTTCTAACGAAAAGACTCGGATTTGCAGCAATGGGGCAGCTATTTGCTGACCCAAGGAAGGCTGCTTGGAGGGTTTTGAAGGAAATATTTGAATCACAGAAGGTTAAGTTATTGTAGGAAAAGTTGAATCTCTCCATCCATGGAAGTTTTTCTAAGAGCGATAGGGGGATCTCTCCACTCAAATTGTTCCATGAAACATCAAGAATCTGGAGGTTTTTGACGCTCAAAGACGGGATTCTCCCCATAAGATGATTCTGGGAGATGTCAAGAGTATTCAAATGACTCAAATTTGAGATTTCAGGAGGAATGTGATTCATAAGGCCGGATCTGGATAGATTAAGGTATTCTAAACTCGAAAGCAATTGAACATGTGGAAATTCCAGGCTGCTAAATCTATTGCAAGCAAGATTAAGGTACTTGAGATTTTGGGCGCGCTCCAAAACATGGAAAATGTCTCCACTGAGCTGATTCTCAGACAAGTCCAGATACACCAAATGAGACCAGTTATAACTAGAATTCAGCTGTGCCTGAGAAATGTGACCAAGAAATTGATTTCTACTGACGTCTAACACCTTCAACTGCTCCTTGAACAAGCCCATAACCGAACCCTGAAACAAGTTTCCAGATAAGTTAAGAGCTGCCAAGGCTATGAGCCCAGAAAAATCTGAATCACGGCCATGAATCCCATTTCCCGCAAAGTTCAAGCTTTCAAGCTTGGGAAATGCAGCCCCAAAGCCATCAGGAAGTGACCCATTTAGCTGATTGCACGAAACGTCCATGACAACCAGAGATTGACAGTTAAGAATTCCTGATGGGATGCTTCCACCAAACCTGTTATGGTCTAATTTCAGGACTCGGAGACTAAGTAATGAGCTTATAGATTCTGGTATTTTCCCAGAGAATTCGTTGATGGAAATGTCAACACTTTCAAGCTGTCCGAAGTTGCAAATGCTGTCTCCGAGAGGTCCAGAAATCAAGTTGGAAGAGAGATTGAGCCTCTTGAGTAGGCCTAAGCTCCAAAAATCCGTAGGAAATCCAGTGATTTTGTTGTTGCTAAGATCCAAACTCTGAAGTCTGCTGAGTTTGCCGACAGTGTTGTCGGGAATAGCGCCGGAGAGGCCAACACCAGAAGCCACGAACTCGATAACATTTACATCTTTGTCACAGAAAACCCCTTTCCATGTACAAACAGGAGCCGAGAAATTATAGACATGAGAAGAGTTCAAGCCCACCTTCTTCAAGAACTCAGAGATATAAAACCCATCTGTATTAGGTTGTTGACATGCCATATGTTTGAAGAACAGTGCAAGAACTAAAATGGAACCGAACAAACGAAAACCCATCAGGAAAAAACCTTGAAAATGAGAAATATCGATACACAGAGCCAACCCAGAATCTCAAATCCCACCCCCTTTTAAATTTTCCAAACCACCATTACTTATTCACTGGGAATCTCTCGTGAATGGTCCCGGGTCCATCTCCGGCAACTTTCCTGGATTCTGAAACCCTCTAAAAAGCCACAGTCCATTTCCCAAACCTTTACAGAGGCCAAAAAAACATAGCGAAAACAGCAACACCCGAAATCTCTAGGTTTCAAGGACGGTCTCTGAGCTTACCTTGTCTGGAAGTGACGAATGTTCAGCAAATTTGATTGATATTTCAGCAGAGCTTCCATGAGAAAAAGAGACTGTGGGAGTGTTAAATGAGGAAGGGGGAGGGGAAAAGGAAGTATAAAAGGCAGAGTTAGAGAGGGTTGGGGTTCATAAATGAGGAGGTTGGCGAATTTATCAGAACTTCTTGGTGGGAATTCAATGATTCTTTCTTGACTGAGTGCAGATAGATCATCATTTGTTTGGGCAAATAAAAATCTGGGGTTTTGGACAACGGGGAATTTGTATTCAAAACGATCCTGATAATAGTCTCAGGCAAAACATTTTAATCCAAAACTTCCCTGTGAATGAGGAGAAGAAATGGGCATTATCATCATTTCCAAGACCCAACTGCTCCTACACCCAAAAAGACCGATCAAATATTCAAAATCATAATTTATTAGCACCAACTCATTGAAATACATACGAACTTTTGAGTATGAGAAAGAAAGATCCCTTTAGAAGATTCCCATTTGGAGGTAAGGGCTTAACTTTTTTGAAGGCGAAGTTTGTGTTTAAAGCTATCTATTTATCATCATGCGCATGAAAAGGAAGGACAGGCTTCGCATTCAAGTAGTCTCAGCCATCACACCTTCTTCCCATGTTTGCCTACGCGGAGAATTCAATTTTTAACACTGTTGGTGCCCAACTTTCAATGCCCTGGTCCTATGTTTTAAGACTCTCCACCTCGAGAAAACATATCATTCATGAGTTACCACGAGAATATGGATACTTGTTTCATTTATTGTTTGTCGTTTAATATACTTTTTTAAAAAGGATGCAAAGTCTAAAATCATAACTAAAATATATTTTAACAAAATATTCCAACATGAACCAAGAGAAAATGTTTTCTCTGGTATGAACCGACCATTGATGACCCTTCCATTTATTACGTATTATGTTAGCATTCTTTTAAAAATGGTGTGAAGTTTACTTATATTAAAGAATATTTTTTTAAGACAAAATTATAGTACGAACGAAGAGAATGTAGTATTCTCGTTGTCTAAGAAAATTCTATGAATACCCGTTCCTTATGTTTGATTCAAATATCTCTTGTATAATTAATTCTTTTTATGTAGTTTGACCCTACATTATTAATAAATGATGCTAACGTCACTCTCGTTCTCAGAGAATAGTATTCGTATTTCACTTATTTCGAAAATTTTCCTAACTCCCTAAATCAACTTGAGAGCATTGGATTAAGAACACTCCGTGGAGACGAAGTCAATGGATGAAAGAATGCTCTAGTATGCAACAAGTTGTATTGCATGTGTTAAGACGAGTTGCAAAGCAAAAGAGAAAATGAAACTAAGCCACGAAAAAGCTTCACCTAAAGTCGTTCTTCTAAATCTCTACATAAAAATCAAATAAAAGTACTGCTATCGTAATAACGATTTTTCTACCTCCAGAGAGAAAAGTCTCTCCCTTATTAACTGGTTGTGGACGAGAAGGGATTCAAACCTCGGACGCTGTTGTTCTTAGTCATGTGCTCTAATCCTTTAAGCTACAAGCTCGACTTTATCTCTATCGTATACGTTTTTACAGATAATATTACATGGTACTTTTTATATTGAAAAAAGAAGAAACAATGTTATTAAATTTCAAAGCATAGATTTAAAGCACCATCCTAAATTATCTCTACTTTTTATCAAATGCCTTTATGATATAATTCTAAATTCACCCTACTTTAAAATATTAATATTATAATGTGGGTGCCATAAGTACCGTAAAAGAAAATACTTTATTGAAATAGAAATTAAATAATTACTTAAAGAAATATGAACATTATTAATTCAACTATAGAAAAATGAATTAAAAGAAAGGGAAAAAAAATAAAAAAAAGGAAGATTATGGGCCCAAATAATAATTACCAAGTATTTGTGGAGATATAAATTATTATTAAATAAAATTAGTTAAATGATTTTGCATTGGAGCATGCAATTTTATAGAGAAAAATTAAAGGAAAAAAAAAAAAGAGGATTAATGATGAATATTAATTGAGTAAAAATAACTCAACAGACATAATGACTTTTCATAATTACAAACATTCCTCAGTCTCTAAGTAAATGTTGCTTTCTTATCCTAATTAATAATCACTTTTTTTACCCTTTTTTTTTTTTTAATTATAACCTTCTTCCCAATATTTGACGAATCTACGTGATAAATACCAAATTATATTATATAAAATTGAAATTTATTAGTGGTTGTACAAACACAAACATGATCCCCACAAACTTTATAAATACATTTATTATTATTATTATTCATTGGAATTTTAAAGAAACAAATAATTATTCAGACATGTTATTTAATATGTTCCATAAAATGAATAAATGTTATTAATACATAAATTCGCTTATTTATATATTTATTTATAATGAGAAAAGCTTATTAGAAAATCCAAAGAAAGAGTATCTATTTCTTGGGCTCAGTTGGGCTTTATAAACAAGCCCAAGTATTGGTCAACTCCTATATGGGCCGGTGATTTCTGTTTAAAGCCCATTGGCCTTGATTTTAAGAATAAATAATACTTTATATAATTGAATATTAACTCAAAAAATAAATGGTGTGACGTTTGAAGAAGCCATCTCTTAATCACTTTAAGTTCAAGAAAAATTGAGGATGCTTTGAGTACGGTCATTCACCCATCTCCCATTCCAACAACCTCAGTCATTTATATAATAATAATAATAATAATAATAATAATAAAGAACCAAAATATTTTATTAGAAAATAAAATATAAAATGAAGAGAGTTCTGCGCCTCGATATCGATGCTTTTCTTTAACGTAACGGGATGATGTATCTTACACAAATAAATATTTAAATAAAATAGTAATTCCCAGATAAAATAATTATTAAAAAAGAAAAATAAATATTATTCTTTTTAAAAAAATTGAATGAAACAGTAATTGTGGTCAAAATGATAGGACCGTATTAATTCCCTAATGTCATTCAAAATATTATTATCCAATAAAATAAATGAAATTGTTGGGGGATGAACTGTAATTAAACAACTTCGCAGGTCTACCTTTTTAATTAATGCAAATAGAGGGGAGCGAAATTAATTATGTCCAGAAGACACGGTTCCTTAGGGGTGGCTGATATTTTATTAATTGCCAGAAATGAATTAAGTCGATTCTCATTTTTTATTTTTAAATTTCGAATTAAACTTTTAGTTTTGAATTTTGAGTTTAGTTTTTATTTAGTTTTTAGACTTAAAAAACTTTATACTTTACTCTTAAATGTTTATTAATAGAAAATTAAGATAAATAACCAAAAGTAAATCTTAAAATATATGGAATAAATGAACACAGCATTGAAAAAAAGTATCTACAGATCATCAATTTCCTCCATTCTTTTGCTTTCCTCTGTTTTCAGCTTGGGACTTGTGTAATCTCTCTCTTACAAGCTTCAAGCTTCTTGATCTTGTTGATTCAGTGCTCTGTTCATGTTTGATTATCTCTTGGTTGGTTTGTCTTCTAATTTTAGCCTATTTGTTTTCTCCAACTTCGCAGGAGAGATAATTCCTCTGTTTTAACTCTCCTGCAATACTCGAGAAATTTGGTTTATCTTGAAGGGGAAGTTTAATCCGTTTCCAATTGCAAAACCCCATTTGGGTCTCCCCGTTTCTAGGGAACTTAATCATGAGAATTCAGAAAGATAGGGTGAGATTCAATGTTGGGGGTAGAATGTTTGAAACGACGGCTACAACTATCGCGAATGCGCGCCGGAATTCTCTATTTGGGTCACTTTTCGATGACAATTGGGATTTACAATCGCTTAATTCCGATGAATTCTTCATTGATCGGAACCCTGATTGCTTCGCCGTGCTTCTTGATCTCTTACGCACCGGAGAACTCTACGTTCCGTCGAATGTGCCGGAGAAACTCCTCTATCGAGAGGCCCTCTTCTTTGGCTTGCAGGACCATTTCCGCTCTGCCAAATGGGGCCAATTCGACGGCAATAGATTGAAGCTTTCCCGTTCTGTGACAGGCCAAGCCCCGGGAGACGGTACCGCCATCCGAGCCGGTCCCGATGGTGGTTGCTGCATTGCTCATGGCTGTATGGTTCACGTCTACGATTGGATGCTTGACGAACACCCTCCGATCAATCTCGATTATCAGCGAGTCAACGACGTAGGATGGATCGATGCGGAGAATATCATGATCAGTGTATGTGAGAGATTAGGCCGCTGTGACGGCGGAATGGGTCTGTTCTGCAAGTCGACCGGCCAGCTCCGGCATAAGTTTCAAGTGAGTCATGAGAATCAGGTAAAGAGCTGCACAGCCGGAGCTTTAAGTTTCAGTTCAGATTATAAAATATTCTCTAGTTGTAAAGGTAGAAGCAATGAGTATGGAATTGGCGTTTGGGATCAAATGACAGGAAAACAAACAGATTTCTTCTATGAACCTGCAGGTTGGTCACTTGGGGATGCCGACAAGCTTCAATGGTTGAATGGAACCAATTGCTTATTGGTTGCTACCCTGTTTCCTAGGAAAGACAATTGTTACATTAGCCTGTTGGATTTCAGGGAGAAGAAAATGGTCTGGTCTTGGTCGGACATTGGAGCTCCATTGACTGTAGATGAGAAGCGAGTACGAGACGCCATAGCCATGGAAGAGAACAGTTCAATCTGCGTAGTAAACGAGTACGAAGATTTGGGGTTCTTGGATTTGAGAAGCAGCAGTGGAGGAAGAAGCATAAGGTGGAGTTCAAGAAGCAGGCTAATGAAAGGGAAGATGCCAGAAGAGCCATGCTATCCCAAGTTAGCATTACATGAGGGGCAACTATTTTCATCCATGAATGATTCCATATCAGTATTGTGTGGACCTGACTGGGTTTTAACGTCCCGGCTCCGACGAAGCTTTGGTGGTTCAATCTATGACTTCTCTATTGGCGGTGATCGCCTTTTCGCACTTCACAGCGAGGAAAATGTTTTCGACATATGGGAGACACCACCTGCGCCCGTATTATGAACATTCACCTAATGGTTTGTTTCTTCCTGATATCAAAAGGGTTCTCTTCTTGGCTTTTAGATTTGTAAGATATAGGTTAGGTGAAGGAATACAAAGATGTACATAGCAGGACCTCTTGATTCGGATTCGGAGAAACCAGAACGAAAAATTTAGAGGAAGTGTTAGAGCGAACAGTTTGTATGGATTTTGCCATTGTTACATGAATTAATAATCTCTATATTCTTTCATCTCAACCTCGTTCTTAAGAAAAGGATAGTTTTATTAAACGAACTCTCACTGAGATATGAACCAACCAAAGATCTGGTGGTGAAAGAGAAACAATCTATGGAGAGGACAAGCAGGGAGATGCAACTGCTAATACCAAAAGAATCAAAACCAAACCCCCTACGGCTCTAAAGTTGTTAAAAGTAACATTTCTCTGTTTCAGAAATCACATGGTCTCTCTTTTATGGTTCACCAAATCATTACTTTCTGTTAACTAAGTATAAGGCAGGCCACCAAGATTCCTTCCATTCATTCCTCAAAGTTTGCGGAGAAAGAAACAAGCAAAGTGTCTGTATGTCCTAAAGCTTGAAGATAAATCAAGCAAGATCAGGCATAACTTTCCTGAGGAATTTAATGGGATAAGAATCTTCGGGTTTGAGTCGGTCAAAAGCGACGTAGTTTTCCTCTTTACTGTAGACATGGCATATCGTCATGATCGTTTTCATTAATCGCCAATTCCATGAAGCCTCGTTCAGATGCTATAGAATTCATTGTGGGGAATGGAACAAAAGAACTAGGATTGTTAGAATCAATAGGGGAAAATAGATGCAATATATAAGGCAGACAATGCAGACATGGATTCAGTTAATGCCATTACCTTTCCCCAGTTTTCTTTTAGAGACTTGTGGGCTGCTCGTAAGTTATAGCTCGGTATTCTTGGCGAAATATGGTGGGGAATGTGCACGTTAATGTCGTGGCAGAGAATCTCGATCCTGTCGAAGGGAGCAAATAAACACCCCTTATTAGCTTAGAACTAGCCCAAACAATGAACAAACTTCTAGTTTACCACTATTGAGCTAAGCAAGAGAGAGATCAGAGAAGAAAACACTGAAATGAATGATTTAGTACCACTGGGGATAAGCACAATGAACTGTTCCATTGAGCTGTGCTTGAGCTGCGTTCCACTCTTCTGAAGCTTTAAACGGTATATGGGGAGCAGTGTGATGGACCATGGTGAAAGTGCTCATCTAAGCAAGAAATAAAAAGAACTGTAAGTCGGTAAACATTGACTAAAAGAACAATTAAATTCTTGAACCAAAAAAATGATGTTACCCAAAAGTGGTAGCCTAGCCACGGCATTAACCAGAACTTGACCCATCCAATAATTCCGGTCTTGTAGATAATCAATGGCCATCCAATAAACATGAATGCAAAAACGCAAGCTAGGCTTATCTTCACTCTTTTCACTTCATTTGGTCTGAACTTTTTCAAATCGAAGTGCCACAACAACCTATTATGCATAAGAACAGATTGTTGCATATTAATGAAAGAAAGAGCAAGACATTGGTTAAATCACATGCAAGAGACCTCGATATTAAAGTCGAGTTATTCTTACAAAGGAACCATCCGACTTACCAATGAGCTATAGACATCCACGGACGAAACGGACCATATCCATATACGATTGCTTTACGCAGAAGAGGTGCTGAATCAAATTCCTCTTTCCACACAGGATGCCAAGCTGTATCTTCTTTCAGCCTATATGCGTGGATAAGAATAAAAATGGAACTTCAGCTAAAATAAAAGATGAAAGGGAGAAACCTAAGTCATCCTGATATTGATTCCTAATTATCATAGTCATACATTTAGTTTTTCAAGCTTAATTGATCCAAAGATACAAGGAAGAACGATTGCATGCTCGACAGTGTCGGGAAAATAAGATATGTGTACAAACCACCGCACTATCAAGCTATGGATAATGGCACATTAAGCCCCATTCATTTTGTTCTCTCAATTCTAATGATCAGAGCTTTTGCATTGCTTAACTAGATGTCTTCGTACTATATGATGGAACGATATCAAACTATGCGTATGCAAGAAGATACGGATAAAATAAGCGTTTTTGATAGAGATAGAGAGGAGGGAGAGATTAGTCCTACATGTTTGTCTTTGCATGATGTTGATCATGCTTAAACCGCCAAGGCTCATATGGGTATATTAAAGGCATGAAAGCCAAAGTACCCACAATATCTTCCACTAACTTGTTCCTTGAAAATGATTTGTGAGCACAATCATGACCTATAACAAAGAACTTGAGGAGGAAAAAGGAAAGTAACTTCAGTATTCCGAGTTGCAAGTCCAACAAGTATGAGAGAATAGATAGGAAAGCAATAAGACTAACCCCTGTTATTGCAGTTCCGGTCCATGCCCAAGCCAAAGGTAGTAGATACCACGGAGCTTTCGCAATCACGACGAGGCCTAATGTGTAGGAAGCTACAGATACTAAAACAGATTTCCATGCTTTCACATCATTGATCTCAAACACCTTTAAAAATTGAAAAGAAACATGAACATGAACTAATTAGGCTATGTAAGTAACTATAAACATAAACTGAAGATCATCAGAATTTTATTTGACAACAAAAAGTTGCAAATGCCTCAGGCTCCGATGTCGAACACTATAATGTTGCAGCAAATAAACTACCTCTTTTGGAAGGGACTCAATGATATCTTTTAGCCTAACATTTTCAGGAAGTGGTTCTCCGATTTGCTCGAATCCATAGCTTTCTGATAATTGTTTTCGATATTCAGCACCGTCTGCTGAAGAAGATGGTGGTGCAACTGGAACGGCAACAGCCCGTAAAATTGCAGCCCTCTTCACAGGAAGTAGATAGTTTTGTCGCTTTATTTTCTTCTGGAATACTATTTTCCCCTTCACATCCAATATACCTGTCTATCGGAATAAGCATGTTTGAACCACCAAAATTGACAATGGAAATCTAAGCTATTTATGTTCAAAGGGACAGCAGAAAGAAAAACTTAAACAACCCAAAATGAGATAAAGAAAACAATGCAAATGGAATTCAATCTTCAAAGCATGTAGCCTTCTACTGTATCAGACAACTGCTAAGCAATTCAGTCTATCAAGTGAATGCCGATAATTCAGCTAATTGAATAGCTCAAAACTCAAAAGAAAGATACCAATACATACCCGGAGCGTTATGGGATGCAATTTTCTGGGTTCGAGCATAATTCTGATGGGGGCCCTGATAATCAAACCAAAACAATAAGAAACGAAGAACACAAAAACCAAAACTGAGACATGGCGGGACATACAGTGAAAAGAAACAAGGAATCCGCAAGTCTGCAAGCCATTATACGCAGAATTGCAGAAATCCCAGCTAAGAAGGCCCCCTTCGCTTGCTTGGGCTCTTTGAATGAGAGGCAATGGGCGGTGGAAATGGGGGAATTTCTTAGTGGGTGTTCCTCAAGTATGCGAGGCCTCGGTTTGAAATGGGAAATTGGGTATAAATCCGTGGCTTATCCTTCTCTAAGATACGGATAGAATTGTTGAAGGGGTGGCCCTTTTCGAGCCTTCACCACTAGTGTGCAAAGCTGCGTTGTTATCACTCATTTTCCGCCCCACGAGAAACTCACGAGGAGAAACAAAAGTCTGCCGCTGCCTTCCGGTCATCGTCCAAACATCCTCGAAGAAATGCCAATTCCTTTTTTTTTTTTTTTAATTTAGAAAAAGGTTAATTTTCAATTTTAATATTTTTAATCATTCAAAGTTTTCTTTAATGACTCATCATTTAAATTTGAAGTGACTTATTTCAACACTTAAATTTAAATTTCACATTTAATTTCTACCTTAAGTTTGAATTTGGTTCATAATAAATCTATCAATATAGAAAAAATTCATTTGGAAAAATCTTAAAATTTGGAATTAATATTAAATTTTCTAAAAAACTCATTTTTAGCATGGGCCGGCAATTGGGCATTGCATGTCAACCGTGGGCCCACTTGCGCTACCGACTTTATATTAAATAAGTCAGGAAATTATTAGTTTTATGTATATAAATTTTTTATAGCTATAGACAATTTCAAGAGTGATCCTTTATTGTTATTATTATTATTTTTTATGAATATGATAAAACTTTATCTTAACACAATAAATAAAAATATGAAAATTTAAATAGTTAGCAAAACTTTTGAATTTTTCATTTAAATTTTGATAATTCTTTATCCTATTAAATATATATTAAAGTCTAAGAAACCCAAGTTTCAAAGTTGAATAAATAATTAGAAATAAATATGAGATTTGAACATTAAATCAACAATTTGACTTCAAATTAAATATTAAAATTAAACAAACTAGATTTGAATAAGTTTATAAAATAAAAATGCTTTGCGGTGCGAAAAGGAAATTTGTTAATACGACGGTGAAAAATGAAAATAAAGGAAATAACAGGAATTACACATGGCGGTGAAACGTGGCGTCCACGTCATCCCTGTTGGCGGTATCAGCTATGGCAGAAGTACGGAAAACTGAAACTACTAACAAACAAAACACAGGAAATTAACGAAGCCATCTGCCGGGAAAACCCCTGCATATTCACCCAACCCGCCAAGGGGAAAGGGAATTTCTCAGCTTTAACGTTCGAGCTTCAGGAAAGGAACTCACGACACGGAATCAATCGATTCTTGTCAATTTCTCGTTTTATGTGTACGAATTTCAGGCTGGGATTGGGAGGATTAGTTGGCCGGTGATATGGCGTTGTTGCGCAAATTGTTCTTCCGGAAGCCGCCCGATGGTCTTCTCGAGATCTGTGAAAGAGTTTATGGTACTGTCTTATTGTCTTTGTTTGTTCTTTATTGGTTTGATTGATTCCGTCCTCTTTTTTGTTACCGCCTGACTAAGACGAAAATTCTCAGTTTCTATTGCCTGGATGTGCAATGATGGGGTTTATGGTGTATGTATCATATCAGCTTATCTTTTGCTTGTTTTATGGTGTAAATTCGGATGCGAGAATGGAACGATAGTACAAATGGGGAACGGAATGGAAATAGAATGTTGTTTGAAGATTCTCTATCGCTCAATCTTCATTTCTCATGCAATAAAGTGAAACAAGCTAGGTGGTAGAGAAGGCTTTAAACTTGTACTTACAGGAAACGTGTCACTGCTGCACTGGATGAGTAATTCATTAATTTAGAAACGTTTTTAGGTTGGTTCTTTACCAAGTCTGAAATGTTGCCTGATTTTCGTTCAGAATATCGTATTTGATAAGTTGTATCTTTCAAACTTGAATATAATCACCCAAGGATCTTGCTTCTATCTGTATCCTGACGAGGTGAGAATACTCTTAACCTTACGTTTTTTCCAGAGAACTTGAAGTTGAACTTCTGAACGAGTCTTATCATCTGAAGGGTATTTTCATAAAAGATTCTAATTTGAGATAAGTTACTATTTAGTGGCTAACATGTATCTGTATTTTCTGCTGCAGTTTTTGATTGCTGTTTTACCACAGATTCATGGAAGGAAGAGAATTATGAAGTTTACTTGGGTGGAATAGTGGCTCAACTCCGTGAGCATTTAGTAGACGCATCTTTCTTGGTATTCAATTTTAGGATCTTAGAGATGCAAAGTCAGGTGGGCGATATCTTATCTAAGTTTGATATGACCATAATGGACTACCCTCAGCAGTACGAGGGTTGCCCAGTTCTGACGATGGAAGTGCTTCACCATTTTCTAAGATCATGTGAGAGTTGGCTTTCCCTTGGGCAGAATAACGTTTTGTTAATGCACTGTGAACGTGGTGGTTGGCCAGTTCTAGCGTTCATGCTTTCGGCTCTCTTGATTTATAGGAAGCAATATAGTGGGGAGCAAAGGACATTGGACATGGTTTATAGGCAGGCGCCTCGGGAGCTTTTGCATTTTTTTTCTCCTATGAATCCAGTTCCTTCTCAATTAAGGTATCTGCAATATGTCGCAAGGAGGAATGTAGCCTTAGAATGGCCACCTGTGGACAGAGGTCTCACTTTGGACTGTATCATTTTGAGATTTATTCCAAATTTTGATGGAGAGGGTGGTTGCCGACCAATATTTCGGATATATGGACAAGATCCACTACTTGTCAGCGATCGAACTCCTAAAGTTCTGTATTCAACTCCAAAAAGAAGCAAAAATCTCCGAACTTACAAACAGGTGACGAGATTCCTTAATCTGTAATTGTCAGAATCACAAGTTGATTGAAAACAAACCTAATGTTATTGATTCCAGAAGCATCTTTTATTACGTTCTTTCAAGTAATAACGGGTTGAGTTAAAGCTAAACTGTTAAGGTATTGTTTTCTTCTGCCAATATGAGCATAGCCAAACGGTTAAGGTATCTCTACTTTCTCTAAGAGGCTGGATGCTTGAATCTCCTAACACGTAATATTCTAAAGAAAAGAATACATTGTTTTCTTCTCATAACATCTTGACTACTTTGTGCTACTTCCCAGTGTTATCTCACTGCTGGCTGTTATAAGTTCAATATTAATTTCAACATGATAATATACATTAAGTTGAAGGGCAATGATTATAAGTAACCAATTTTTTTTCCCTTTTTAATTTCTACTAGTATTAAATGGTTTTGGATGCTCTGCATGCTAAAACAGGCACCCTTTATCCAATAAGAGATTAACTTTTGGGTGCTTCATGGTTCAATGGCAAATGAGCTATCTAAGTAATCAAATTAGACTAGGAGGTTTGGAATTTATGATTTAGTCTGCAAGGGAAATTCATTTCCTGTACTTTTCCTATGCTGTCGCCCTCTTGGCCTACTCCAAAGTAAAGCTGATTGAATCGGAGTTCAATTGAATTATTTTGTAAATACACTTAAAATCCCCAATGTTACCATAAGGTCAACCTTGTGTACCCTGTTGCAGGCAGAAGCAGAACTGGTTAAGATTGATGTAAATTGCCATATTCAAGGTGATGTTGTTCTTGAGTGCATCTCCTTGCATGACAACATGGAATTTGAAGAGATGATGTTCAGAGCAATGTTTAATACTGCTTTTATTCGCTCTAATATTTTAATTCTCAACCGTGAAGAGATCGACACTTTGTGGAATGGCAAAGATAGATTTCCAAAGGACTTTCGAGCAGAGGTATGTCTCTTTTTCCTTGCATGATTATCTAGTACTGCTTCTCTTCCTTATTTTCTTTGGCCATCATTTAAATGTAGATTCTTTTCTCTGAGATGGATGCTGCAACATGTCCTGTTGCAAATGATGTAGTTTGCTTTGAGGAGGAAGGTCTCCCCATGGAAGCATTTGCTAAAGTGCAAGAGATCTTTAGTCATGTGGATTGGTTAGACCCCAAAGCAGATGTTGCGCTCAATGTGCTCCATCAGATGAATGCCTTAAGCATAGCCCAAGAGAAGTCAGAAAGTAGTTCTCCTCGGAGTACGCCAGTTAGTCCTTTATTTCAGAGTACAAGTCCCAGAAAACTTTCGCTGAAGAAATTCACAATGGATAACAAAACAAAAATCCTAGAGAAGGAACAATCTAGTCCAACATCTAAATTTTCACTGTATGCTGCTAAATCTAATTCAGTATTCCAACAGGTGCCTCAATCTTCGGAGTGTTTCCCACTCGACATTTTGCAAGATTCGCCAATTTCAGAGAGTAGCGATAGGACCTCATTCAGTGCTTCGGTTGGAAGCCACTCAGTTTTTGATTCTGAAGGAGAAACAGAGGTTTCTCATCTGAAAACTGTATCTTCATCTTTTCCGAATGCAGCATTGGCTGTTTCTCTTGCACCCGAGTCTCTCCAGACTAAGAGTCCCCTAACAGAAAGAATAGTCCCACCACCTCCTCCTCTCCCCCAACTTTCCACGAATAGTTCTGCTGCTAATTCTCTAACTTATCCTTCCGCTCCTCCAACTGCCTTACCACTTCGGTCTAATAACTTTTCAACTCTAAGACCAGATAAATTCTCACTCACTGAGGTAGTAGAAAACTATTCGAAGGATCAAAGGCAGTTATCAACCGTTAGCCCCCCACTTTCTGTAACCTCAATACAGTCATCTCCACTGCCTCCTTCTACACCTCCTTTGAAGGATACCATAGCAGCTAGAGTTAAAGCTTCTCTGCCACCACCCCCTCCTTTTTCTTCAACATTAGCTTCCCATCCTGCAAATGCATCCTTTTTGCCTCAACCACCACCACCTCCTTCTCCTCCTTCAACATCCACTGTTAGTCGTAAAATTTCATCTCCAATCCCTTCACCACCACCACCTCCTCCTCCAATGGACATTACGGATCCTAAAATTTTCTCTCCCGTGCCTCCACCACCACCGCCTCCTCCTCTGACATCCAAACAGGTTGAAAGTACTTCAACATCTCCATTTGTTACTCCTCCACCACCACCACCTTTTCCTATGACGTCCAGCCAGGTTGGAAGTATTTCTACATCTTTGTCTATTCCTCCACCGCCGCCACCTCTTCCGTCCAGACAGGATGGAAATACTTCAACATCTCCACCTGTTCCTCCTCCACCACCACCTGCTACTACCAAGGGCTCCTCCCCACCTGTTCCTTCTGCTCCCCCTCCTCCTACCCTTTCTGGGAGGGGGACTTCAAAATCAGGTGAAGTGTTTCCTGGTTCTCCTTTGTCTTGGTCCTCTCTAGGGCCACCATGTATTTCTCCATCAACAAAGGGACGAAGTTTGTCACGCACTATAAATTCAAGAGCACATATAACTAAGAAACTGAAGCCATTGCATTGGTTAAAGTTATCGAAAGCAGTGCAAGGAAGCTTATGGGCTGAAGCTCAAAAAACTGGTGAAGCTGCCAGGTATACCAACCCTTAATTCTAGAAGTTTAGAAACAAGTCAAGAAATATGGACCAATCATGTTAATATTTTGTTGTAGGGCACCAGAGATTGACATGTCAGAGCTTGAAAGTCTTTTCTCAGCTGCAGTTCCTGCTTCTGATCAGAACCGGAAGTCGGGTGGACGTGGTTCTGTTGGGAATAAACCCGAAAAAGTACAACTGGTAATTAAATTCATCTAGCAGTTCATGCTGCCCTCTAGTTTAGAACCATCACCATTCTTGTGATGCTTGAGATACAGTATTGTTGTTTTCTCGCTGTTTTCTGTAGGTTATGAATTATTACTATAAAAATCATTAGAAGAGAGAGATGAATCTGGTGAATGATTGACAATGCATCATTTGAAGGGTATTATGAAACTATATACAAACCAAACCATGCAGACTGATGACATTTAGACAACATTATAAAAAATTTGTGCAAGGAAGCTTATCGTGAGTCACAGCAAAGACTATTACGCAAGTGACAGTTATTGACACATTCATACAGAAATCCCAACTAAAAACCACAATCACCTAACCAATATTTAATAGGTTCTTCTTACTCAATAGATAAATTCCCTTCGGCTCTAGAGCCTTTTGCAGCATCCACATGAAATAGATTGCATTCAATCCTAGAAAGTCATGATTGCATCCTCATGACTTCTGTTATTTCGAAACTTAGGCTTCAGGCTTCAGTTGTTGTCGGCCGTCAGTGTAAGCACTTGAAATGATTGCATTCAATCCTAGAGTAGCAGCAATAATTACTTCCCATGTATCATGACTTTTAATTTCCTTAAAGGAACGAATAAAATGAAAGCTTTGGAGAAAATCTGATCTGTTAGTATACTTTCCAAGTGGAAATATATACACACGTTTCTGTAACAAAAATAATAACAACTAACAAACTAACAAATTAACCGCTTAATAATTTCCTAACTAAAGGTTTTCTGAAGAAGATGGTGTTACAAATAAATGAAAGGTTTGTGGTTTATTGAAGACTAATGATTTTGATAGAGAAATAAAAGCCTACCAGTATGTTCTTCAATAATTGGATAATCACTATATTTAGGGAGTCACAAATATTAAATCTTACACGATATGGTTCATTGAAGGCATTCTTCAAAGAAATACAATTTTTGCAAAGAATACTTGTTACCTTTAGACTGGGTGTAGTTCAATAATTTGTTACATGGTTTCTAATTAAGCACTTGACTCTTTACTACTAACATTCATATGAAACGAGGGTATTTGCGTGCATGTATTGCTTTTGAAAAATAGAAGTTAATAAATAAACGACGATTGAGGAGACTTCTTACAAGACTAAACAGTGTATTTCCTTGAAGCTTCTTCTATATAATTGTAGAGAATGAAAGTAGATCTTGTGGAATCATTTGAATATTTGACAAGACATTCCGTACCTTACTAAATTACATACATTATGTTAACACCTTACTAAATTACATACATTATGTTAACAGAACAGAATAAATCATATAAATGAATACTGGTATAACCAGTCATTTTTGAAATTGAACCCCTTACATTTCCAAATTTCATCTGTTGTCTAATTAATTATGTCCAATTTTTGTCTAAAGATGTTTATTTCAAATGTTCATTTTGGTTGCTTTTCCTAACAGCAGTTTGTTGTTAACATTGTTGCAAGTGTTAGTATGAATATCATTACTTTCTGCTTATCACCCAGTTATAGCCAATATCAACCTTTTCCGTTTGCTTCCTGCTACTGTCACAGATTGATCACAGGCGAGCTTACAATTGTGAAATCATGCTTTCAAAGGTCAAGGCACCTTTGACTGATTTAATGGTAAGATGGTTTATATTTAACGTGCTTATAATTTTATATTTGTACATCTTTTATTGAAGTTGAGAAAAAACTATGCTTCAGTTTTCTAATCATCATTGTTCCTTACTGTGGGCCTAATGAATAATTCATGGTGAAACCATGGTTGAATTCTCTGTTCATTGTTGTGTTGCGATGTTCGTGCAGTGTCAATTTTATTAGGTTTTAAGATTTCTCTTCTACTGTTGGCTAGTTTATGGTTTACATGGATGAAAAATAATGAAAACTTTTTGAGAGTAATAAGAAGGGGATATAGGGCCAAGATGTTTGCTTATTTTCATGATAGGGATGCTCACTATTTTGCTTCTTTTGTTAGTTTGAATTGCAGGGTAGCTCTTCTTGTACTGTCTGATGTTTGTAGTGGAAGGGCATCTCATTTCTTTTTAATCCTCGATCAGTAAAATTTGTGTTTTTAAAAGAATGCAGCAAATTAATATCATTGATATTTTCTGTGTAATGCACACTCGATTTTTCTGTAATTATTTCTTACTAATTAAACTTAAATAGTGTGCCTCTTGGGTAATGGTGGCAGAGTTCTGTGCTTGACCTCGAAGATTCAGCACTGGATATCGATCAGGTTGAGAATCTTATTAAGTTTTGCCCAACAAAAGAGGAAATGGATTTACTCAAGGTTGGTATACTATCAAAATTGGTAATCCTGGTAAACTTATAAGGCCTTGCCCTCTCTCTAGGTGAGGGCAGTATACGCATTGTTAATGCTACTAATTTAAGTACTTCTAAATTTGGGATAAATTCACATGGTTGATAACAATGCATGCAGTAAATTTCAGAACCTTGATGTATAATGTAATTTATTCTTTGTGAGTAATGCGGCATGTTCATGTGCAGGGCTACACTGGAGAAAAGGAGATGCTTGGAAAATGTGAACAGGTTTTTATGGAAACTTTTTCAGCATTTCTTTATCGAGGTTTTGATTGCTGCCCAATCATGGATGTCATGCATATTACATGTTTCTATGACAAGCATATAAAATCACTTTTTAACCACACATTTAATGTAATTTTATTACTGTTCAGAAGATAAGCATATAATACTAAATTGTCTTTAGAAATTTTCTTATTCTCTAAGGACTGTAGTACCAAATCAGTGACAAGGATGAAGTTTTTCTCAATGAGAAATCAATGTACTTCATGATATCCAGAAATAACAAAGGAAACATAGAACTATTATATAAACACTTACGGATTATTAACATGGTAATCTGCGAAATTTTGAGTAATATAGACATGAAATATTTAAGTTGGCTGAAAAATGGTTTTCCCTGTTGGGAAATTTTAGTGCTCAGCTTTAATAAATTAATCCACGACTCATCTACTTCGTTGATTTTTGAGGTATCGTTTGTAACTTTCTTTTTCTTAAACTGTTATAATTCCTTAAATGCAAGAAACATTCTGCTTATGTTTTGCTAATAATTAAATTGAGCAGCAATCAGCTGAGAACTTAGTTTTTTTAAATATGAGCATATTGAGTTGGATTTAATATGATACTCTTTCAAAGAGCTAAGGAAAGTTCTTTGAAGGTGTAGCTCAACCTGTACTGCTGATCAAATTTGGAGAACTACATTCTTCTTCTTCTTCTTCTTCCTCTTTTTTTTTTTTTTTTTTTTTTTTTTTTTTTTTTTTTTTTTTTTTTTTTTTTTTTTTTTTTTTTT